ATCACTATAAACAAGTTAGTAGTAACACTAACTTAGTTTTCCTTACGTATACTCTAGGAGTAATACAGTGATGTGGAGCACACTTCTAAAGAAAATAACTCAGCATCCTACTTCGTATTCTCTCTCTCTCTCTCTCTCTCTCTCTCTCTCTCATTCACACACACACAAACACACACGTGCATGCAAAATAAAATAAAAAATCCTGTGATAACACACAAACAGAATGTACACATTAACAAGGACAAACAAATAGGGAAACAACAAAGTTCTTTACCTTCAGGGGCTGCATCAACTTGAACAACCAGGCATGTTGAGAAGAAGGCAGAACAGGCGGTATCTTCATCTTCTTCCAATCCAAGCTTACCAAATCAGTAGCAACAGAATATCCTTTCACTAGACTCTCAACATCCTCACTGTATAGTTCACCTTTCCCTTCATCACTGCAACTCTTATCCCTCCTCCTCCTCCTCCTCAAAGCAACCCTCTTCTCAAGACTCAGCCTCTTACTCTTCCTCCTCAAACTCCTTACCACCCTTCTATCACTTTTCTCTGTCACCTCACCCTCTAAACCAGTAAAATTTCTCTCTAACTTTCTCTTTCTAGTGCATCTTTTCTTCTGGCCTGTAGCCTCAGTGTCTGAGTCTTCAGAAATGGTGGCAGGGCTGAGCTTGTATATGTTCTCTAGCGCAGCTGCCGCCTCATTGTAATCAAGATCAACAGTCGCACAAGGAGCAGTGTTATCCATGGTAACAGCTTGAACAGTTTTCTTGGGTTTGACTTTCCTAGTTGATGTTAGTGATATGAGTTTCCTCTGGTTTACATTTGTATCAGTGGGTAAAGATTCTGGTGCAATAGCAATCGAGGATTTCTTGGTCTTTTGGGAATGTGGAGATCCTTTGAATGCAAGAAAAGAAGTAGGTTTTCTTAGGGTTCTTCTTTGCAATGGAAGGTTTAAGAATCTTATTCCAACACCAAATGAGGAAGCAGAGCCTGGAACTGTCATAACTCCCATGCCCAAATAATTTCTTCAGGGTTCTTCTAAGTAGTCAGTTCAGAACAGCTTACTCTTTAGTGCTTAGAGATCTCTAACAAATGACAACATAAAAGCAGCAGTAAGAGTAGGATATTTTGATCATTTCTATAATTACTTACAAATTTGGTTTCTCTTTCAAGAAATCATTTGTATATCATATATAGAGTCGAATTTCGGAGTCAATACCTAGAGAATGATAATCTAATTCATTGCGATTCTTGGACCCAATTGTCAAGTTGAATTTTAAAACTAAAAACTTATTTGTATTTCCAAAGCACATAAAGTCATATGCATTTCTTTGAAACACAAAAACACTCCTGTTTTGGAACAATAACATCAAGAATATCATGAGATTTTCCAAACCATGGCAAAGGAAACCAAAATATCATAAATTCATAACGAAAACAGAATCTCAACTTTAAGATACTGGTCTGAATCCCAGCTAAGCTCACCCACACATAAACAAAACAATAATGCAGGAAAAAGAGAGAACATAGAGAGCTGTAGAGTGATACACTCTGTTAGTAGTGTTATTAAGACTGGACTGGCTGGTGTGACAGGTTGAAGCAGGAACCGGGCCTAGAAGCCGTTTGGTCTAATCACTGGCCATTAATTGATCACAACAAGTCTGGAGCGACTGGTTCTTATAATTTTTATTTATATTTCCTGACCGATCTGACTGGTGAACCAGCCAGCCCGACCAGTTTCATGAATATATAACCCCACCGGTTCAATGACTGATTACATTGAGCCAATATTTAATACAGAGTTACAGAATTGGTAACTTTAGACCTATTGGATTTATAAAAATTCATTGACATTGCAATTAAAAAATAAAAAAGTCCAATTCCTGTCTTTCTTCAAAATATTTAAATTGCCAAGCTCAAAGGATATTTCTCACTACGATTCTTATTTAAAATTGATGTTCAATTATTTGTTTCCACTATTATTTTATATTGACCATTTTAGTAGTTTTCTCATAACAAAGAGCTGTCCTTTTTAACTTCGGGTGGAGGGTAGCAACCATCAATAACTCAACCAAAGAAGTGCAAGAATGGAGTCTCCAAAACAAATGATTTTTCCAAATGTTTCGATTCCATTTCGTATTTCGATTTCAATTGCTTCTACTCTAACATCAAACATGTCCACGGTAGAACTTCTAACATCGGCAAAGTTACTCGCCTGCGGCGAGTTAGAAAACATTTGAGTAGAAGAAATAAAAATTTTGGCATTAAATTTTCCGCTTTTCGCTAATGAACTCCTTGAATTCGAACCAAATCTACTCATTCTCAAAACTTCTAGTCTTTCTACAGATTAAGCTGCATTACTTTTCCTACTTATCAGAAGGGATCCACTCAATATTTCCCTGTCAAAGCAACAAAAGAACAGAAAACGCCGCAAAAATCAATATTGCTGTAAACACTTAAAAGAATTGCTTACCTTTGTGATGTGATCTTCGGGGACACACAGAGAGAGATCAAAAGGCCGCCTTCTGAATTTCTACCCTTTTGAAAACCAGTATTAAAGAGGGTTTAAAAACACAGGAATTCCTGAGATATACAAAAGAAAACGAAATTTGAGTAAAAAGAGTAAATTGAATTTTGTGGCGTTGAAGCTCTGGTTGAAGCCCCACCACGGTACTGCTCCTCAACCAATCGACGATGAAAGATTTGTATCGGACGGTTAGTCTCGCGATCTCGATTTCCTTTGGTGACATTTTGGAGGGAAGGTGTGGATGAGATCGCGGGTTGTCGATTGGAGGAGGTGTTATGGTTGTGGGCCAGGGTTTGGACTAGTTGGGGAATCGAATGTCCGGATGGTTGTGTCCCAACGTTGCCTGTTATGGGCCATATTTTTTTTGTGTTTTTAAACGATAATATTGTTTAGTAGGAATGGAGTAGGAGAACTTCTTTATTTTATTTAACTTTTTTTTCTTTTTTTTTTTTTATTGGTTAAGATCGGAGTCAAGGACTTTTTTTTTTTTTAGATAATAAAGTCCGAGACTTATTTAAGCATCGAAATTGGCACCACTATGATCTCAGCCGATGTTCCGTGTTCTGCTAAAACCTTTTTCAATTGGGTGTTTTAAATCTTGGATACGATTATTGGATTGGGACTGTCTGGGTCGACCGAGATAAATCACCTCTTGGGGGTGGACCTATTCTTGTAGGAAAATGTGCCTTATCAGCCCGTTTTTCTTAGGAAAATGGGCTATACATTTTTTTGTGTTTTTTTTGAGTCGGAGACCTTTTTCTTGATCATCTATTGTATTTCTGTGGAGATAGAGTCAAAGACGTCTTTCTAAGTCATCCGGAGATAGTGATCGTACCCCATTTCCACATTGTTTTTTTTTTTTATCGCACCCCATGCCCCTATTGTATATATATAACATATTTCTTTTTTTGTTAATGGAGAATAGTACCATAATGACCTCAGCCGATTTCCCCGTGTTATCGGGTGTTTTTACTAAATCCTTTGTTATCGGAGATAGTACCACTATGATCTGTAGCCTTTTATGGTGTTCTACTAAAACCCTTTTCAATCCGGTGTTTTAAAACTTGGATACGATTTTTGGATTGGGGTCCGTCTGGCTGGACCGAGATATATCACCTCTTGGATGCAACCTTATACTGTGGAGCTATGGATACACCTCAAAATCATCAGAAAAGGTAGCTATGCAATCTTATATTGTAGAGCTACGGATGCACTTTAAAAATCATCAAAAAAGATAGTTTTAATGTTGAAAAACCCTTTGATTGATCATCTCGCCATCAAGATGTATAACTATGAAAAATAAAAAGATTTTAAGTCCCCAAAAATAATGCACTTTACAACATATTATCTATACCGTTTATTTTTTCATATGTTTATAGATCTACTTGATTTTAATGTGAAAAAATATATGGTCAATTTTTTAGTATGTATTTAAGTAGGTATGATCTTTTTTAAAGTATTTGATGTGAAAGTTTATATGTTTTTTTTTGGTATGTACTAAGTAGGTGTGATATTTGTTAAAATATTTAATGAAGAAATTCGTATGGTGTATTTGTCAAGAACTTATTACTTTATTTTTTATAAAGAGCATGAACGACTAATGTGTGTATACTTATATATTCTTTTTTTTTAAAAAAAAAACAAGAAAGAAGATACAATGGTTCGGTCAAAAGATCCATTTTAGGATTATTGTGAAGAAAGATGACATAAATTATATTGCAATTTTTTGCGGTGAAGGATTTTCTGCCAAGATAACAAGATTCAAATATCACTTGTCAAGAGAACAAAGGAATGATATAAAAGCATGTCATCAAGTACCAGATGATGTACCAGCTATGACTAGATGAGAGTCATGAGTCACCTAAATTAATTGACTTAATTGTATTAGCCTAGTAAAGTTTTTATGAATGGATTAGTTATTGATGGCTTTGACATAATTTTTATTTTTTAAAACTTCAAAATTTCTAACATTTTAACTTATCCGATTTTTTGACTCGGAGTTTTTTAGCCTATTCCGATATATTGGCGATATCTTTACATGAAGTATTTTTGCCGATCCATATTTTTTATCCTACTTTTAAAAAAAAAACGATTTTTTCCCGATTTTAAGGTAAGCCGATTTATTGAAAGTCCCCAACTTGCTAACTATGGGCTAGACCTATTCTTGTAGGAAAATATACCTTATCCGCCCCTTTTTCTTAGGTATTTTAAATAAGAAAAAAGTTTACCTTATAATGTAGAACTACGATGCACATCAAAAATCCATCGAAAAAGGTAGTTTTAATGTTGAAAAACCCTTTGATTGATCCTCGACATCGAGATGTATTGCCATTAAAAATAAAAAGATTTTAAGTCTCAGAAATAGTGCATTTTATAACATATTATCTACACCGTCCATTTTCAAGATTTTCATATGTTTATAGATCTACTTGATGTTGACCATTTTTAAAATTTAAAAGTTTATAATTAGATATAAAAATAGATTTTGAGATTAACATTTTACATCAAAATTATATACCATGATAAAATTTGAAAGTGCACTTTACCTGTACAACTACGGATGCATCTGTATGCGAACTGCATAATGTCTGTTGGACTATCTGCAAAATCCTACAGGGTGAATATCATATAATTGGATCCTATTTTTATGAGCATTAATAAGTTGTAGCACTGGAGTGAAAACCAAGTTTTGATGATAGTTTTTAAATTTTAATATATTTTTTACAAATCAGAATAAATGGAAATTTTTGATGAGTAAGATGTACCTAAATAAAAATATAAATAAATAATTCAAATACAAAAACTGACCAAATTACCCCTATAAATATTTCAGGGTTAGTTTCATCATTTTAATTTTTAATATTTTATTTAGGTGCAAGGTGGTTAAAAGTCCACAAACTCCAAATTTCAAGTTAATTCGATTTATTAAAAAATTATTAAAATTCAAATACTATCAGACAACTGAAATTGTATGATGGACTTTAGATGGTGATGAGCCGTGAGTGAGTATTGCATAACTTCAACCATGAGTGTTGTAATTGTTTTCCTTTACACACATAAATACACTATATTATTGGGAACTATTTTAATAGGGCTGCAATCCTATCAAAATAAGTATTACCTCACTTCAAAAGCCACCAAAAATTGCAGTTTTGGTATAAAAAAACCTTCAAATCGATCATCTCAACCTGTACCGTATGTTTAAAAAAAAAAATTTAAGATTTCAAGCCCAACAATAGTGGATATTGTAACATATTAGCTAAAGCATTCATTTTGCCCTTTTTTGAGCATAATATGCAAAAAATATGCACATTTTCTTGAGCTTGATGTTAGAAATTGATTCTAGAGCCATCATGAAGATTTTCGATGCCGAAAGTGCTTTCCGGACAAGGATTTGAGGTGATGCCTTCTTTTGTTTTCATAAAGCCTATGCCTTACAGAAACTGCATCCATATTATTAAGCCAAAATTAAAAAGTGAATACATGTTGCAAGAATAAAAGGGACTCTATACAAACAAAGTAGGGTATATATGTCCCATAAATAAAGAGATTTAAAGTAAGGTATCTTTCTAACTAAGATAAATCAAGTTCATTTTTTAGGATCTAGAAAGATTGATATATGAAAGAGAGAGAGATAGAGTCACACGAATGGAAGGGAGGATTCTTTTCTTGACCTCTTAAAATTTTGACAAAGAGTTTAGAGTTCTTGTTTTTCAGGATTCAGAGATGTGCAACCCGGCGGGTAGGTGTGGGCATGAGAGAGGGTGAGAGAGTCCGTGAGGGCATAGGAGGGGGGAAGAGAATCAATGGAGTAGGGAGTCAAAGAGGCTGTGGCGCACATGAGAGAGAGAGTATGAACACATGAGGAGGGTGGGGCATGAGAGAGTGATATAGAGATTGTTTTGAGAAGAGAGCTTCCTACCTCATTATTTTCTTTTTTTCACCTTGTTAAACTATTTATCAATCAATATGTAGGACATTATGCCTATGCACGTATTTTCTCTCTTATATGAAGCATAACAAGATTCGGATTTATTTTAATGATGTATTGTTTTATAGTCCATGTAGTTGAATCTCCACTTAACATTAACGTTTTTAACGTTTGATGTAATTAATCCTAACTTATATTTGCCATTAATTTCTTTTTCAATAACATTTTGTCTATAGTATAGGATGATTTTATCATGCTTGCTCTTCTTTTTTGTTATATTCTATTATGGACAACACTACCCATAGGTTAAAATGAATAGTATTTTCACCTGTGGGTGCTCCACCATCCGATTTTTTAGACGGCGTGGAAAAATTGACCACACCGGACATGCTATATCCATTGTAATACCGCAACAGACATGATATGTCCAGTGAAGTCGATTTTTCACGCGAAACCGCTATGGGTCTACGAGAGATGTTACGGGGTGAAAATACTGTACACTTTTTAAGAGTTTTCCTTCTATTATATTATATAGGTCGGTAGCTTAAATTTTTGAGTAATCGAGTGATCTCTCATTCTCTCTAAAGCCAATATTTAAAATAACTTCTAGACTCTATTCTTATCCATCTTTTTAATTTGTATGGATTTATTTCTTATTTTTCATTAGTAAAAAGCAAATAGATTAGGGGCCGTCACTTGGTATGACGGTAAAAGGCTCGGGTAGCCAGCACAAAAGCGGCTTCGAGTCCTGACAGCGGCCACTTTGTGAATAAAAAATCAAAGGTTATTACTATTTCCACCTCACCCCTCCCAGAACCCTGTGGACCAACACCTATTTACGGCCCTTTAGGTAGCCAATGGATAAGATTACTTTTCGATTGTGATTCAAATTCATAGAGAAATTTTATTGCATGTAATTCAAATTATTATTTTTATATATTCAAATTTAATGGTGAATTTTTTGAACTTTTATGTCTGTAATTCTAACTCTTTTTTAAGTCAATGACTAACTTTCTATTTATCATTTTAAATTACTAACAAAGATTTATTCTTAATGGGGACATTTTGGTCTCCTTTCTTTTTATTGGTATCTCCCCTTGTATTTTTACATGGGTTCAATGTTATTCCTAATAAATCTGTCAAA